TATCTTTTATTTTCATTACAGACTGGAAAATTTTTAATACTTACAAATATTTCGGCTGACGAGCGTGGTGTGTATGTGTGCTTTGCTGCGATTCGCCATTCTTCCAGCTTTAACTTCGACCCTAATGCAGACGCTGCTATAAGAACAATAAATGACGATAAGAAATCAATATCAACATTTTTGCCATTATTTGGCTCGTCATCGTCGACGTCGCCAACAGCATCATCAGCATCATCGAAGTCATCAGATGATACGAAAATAGCAACAATTGTGAATGCAAGTGCAACAAATGCTTCAACTACCTCATCGCTTCCAATGCCAGTGCCCACAATAGCTATGACAGCCGGCCCCGTAACAAAAAGCACAGCCAATATATCGACAGTGAAGCAAGTTGCATTTGCTAACAAAGCCACCACCAGCACCTTAGACAATGGCGACCACCAAACAATAGGAGCAGTGTCACATGCTCAATTTAGCGAAAGTCCTACACCGAACACAAGTCAAGGTGGTGTAACAGATGCAATTCTGGCTTTACAGCAAAATCACAAGCAGCTGGAAGATGAAGAAGAAGATGAGGAGGCAGAGGAATATCAAGCAGTCGAAAAGGTCAATTTGACTGTGCGCACCCCACCAGGGCCTGTTACACAACTCTATTTCAAAGCGTCAACAATTCTGGGCTTTCTTATCTGGCGCTTTAATAAAGCCAATTCCGGTGGTTACCCGGTGCGCAGCTTTACTGCCGAATTTCGCAATGTTTCGTACAATGAAACACCCTACAACCATACGTTCGAGCACGAATGGAGTCGAATGGACCCTATTAATATTGCGCCGAATGTTGTAAGTTTAGATTTGTGAAAAACGCTACATATTTTATTATGAATTGTAATAGATACATACATACTTATGTATAAGTATATGAATATAAGTATGTATAGACCAACTAGTTATTATCTCAGTGATAACTTAGAAAGCATTAAAAACCCCACGTCTTGGATTACATCGAGCCCTATTTTTGATTTTTTCGTAAGCGAAAAAAAGGCAAATTTTACAGTGTAGGGTTTTCTTACTTCTCCCTTAAACTATGTAATAGATATTTTATTTCCAATTAAATGGACAACTATGCTGGGGAGTTGAAGCTTTAATTTATCCAACCCGAAGAGCCCTAAAACCCCTAATGTAAACTAATAACATTTGGTACCGAAAGCGACATAAAAAATACATACATACATTTATACATATTAGGGTGATGGAAAATAACTAACCTAACGAATCTATGGCCTTAAAAGGACCTATTTATTGAGATGAAAATTCTCCCATTTGGAAAAACTTTTATTCAAATTTGAAAAGGTCTCGGTGGACATTTAAGATTTTCCATGTAAACAACACTTACAAAATATCTGAAAAAAAAAAAATCTGGGCATATTCTAGTGCGGCATTAAATGGCGCTGAAGCTGGTTGTCTAGACTCAAAGATGTATACGGGCTATGAACGTCGAAAAAAAGCCGGTTTAGGGCTTTATGATTGGCAATATTCTTGCTAAATGAAAAAAACTTTAACCAAAATGATACAAAATGTGTAGAAAATGTTGATTATAAACTAGATTTGTCAGAGAAGATAGAGTTTTAATCCGTTTATTAATTTTTTATTGCATTTTTAAACATTCATATTCTTTTTTGAATTATTAATAGTATTCAATTTATTGCAATTAAGATACGTGCTGGCGATGTAATTGCACTACTTGCAAAAGAAATTTACTTTTTTTCTTCATGTTTCGTCAAAATTTGATTACAATTTTCTATCAACGCTACTTTGGAGTACTCAGTATCGATACTATAAAAAATCGAGTTCTCAGTACTTTCGGTTTGGATACTGCCCAACACTAATATGTAATTATAATAGATTGCCACTTACTCAATATGTTAGTGTTTAGCCGAACTCCTCCTCCGATTTGTGACGTGCGCCTGTGATGTTGTCACACAAAAGGGAGGGACCTACAGTTTTACGCCTTACGACTCCGAACCGCGGAAAAAGTGCACTCGAATGTTTGCCATTATATGTAAATAATATCGGCGTATTGACAATTATCTATTAGGAATATATAAGTACATACATATGTAAGTCCCTTCTCCCTTTCACTCGAGCGCATCATAACTATAAACTATATACTAATTATTTCCATGACAAATAATAATTAGCCATCTAATAATCTATATGGTTTGCATGCAACAGATAGCCCTGGTTGTTCTGTTCTTAAATATATATATATATATATATATATATATATTTTTTTTTTGCAATTATATATTTGCCGCCACCCACTCAATAAGAGTCGACGTAATTTAATTCAATAATAGTAATATATTCAAATATTTTTTACATTGGCGAATTGCGAACATCACCGGACGGTTACAGCGGCAAATGGAAGTATATCGACTGGAGCCTAACACCACCTACGAGTTTCGAATATGGGCCAACAATCAGTTGGGCAGCGGCGAGGTAGTGACCACTAATGTAACAACACTTCCCGAAACCAAAGAGGAGGGTGAGTGCGTTATATGTGTATGGTGTATTAAGTAATATGAGTTATGCCGGTCTTCCAGACAGGATACTGCCTGTGTGTATAGGTATTTAGCTGCGTATGTACATAGGTGTTGTGAAATGTTTATTTGAGTGTGTGTGTGCGATTGATTTTACTGCACATGAGCCAAAGAAAAAAGGATATACGAGGTTCGAGTTTTTACTCTACATATTTACTCCTCTATGCCCTGTTTGAATTTTAGTCCTTGAATATTGAGGATACATCAGGTAGGAATAAGTATATGGCGGCTCTTATAGAATGTCCCAAAACCGATTCGCCATTCTAACCCTCACCACCAACGCCAAATTCAACATCCGGCAGACGTTTGCTTGGAAAACAGGATCAATCCATGTCTACATGGATTGCAAAAAATTTGGAGGTGGTGTCTACACGGTGAAATGAGGAATATCTTTCAGTCCACTTTCCTGATACTGTAGTTTTTTTTTTTCAAACGAACTTCCTTACCATCCATGAATGTTCAATGCATAAAAAGTTTATTTAACTTAAAGTGAAAGGAATTCAACGTCACCACTTCGATTATCATCGTTAACTTGCTGATAGGACTACTTACTGTAATTAGACTACACGGCCGGCAATAACCAAAAGGAGAGCCAAAGTTCGACGTAGTTATTTTTATCGAATTAGATGGAAATAAGATGTCCATTTTAGTTTTTATTGAGCTCTTGAGTAGTTTCAGATTAAAGGAGTAACTGTAGGCTCAGAGCGATGTCACAAAGGATCCTGAGTCTAAATGAGTTCTATCACTGACTGCCGCTTAAGCCTTAAGTTAAACCTTACCATAAGTTATGAGGTTACCTTAGAATTTTGTTTTTTTAATCATATTTTATATATAGCAAATATGTGAATTTCTACCATCACTCCTCAGAAAACAATTACCAAAATCATGGTGGAATTATACCAGGTGAAGTAATAAGCGCGAAAAGAAAGATTCCGCACTGCCTTATTAAACGTGTTTGCCTTTTAAAATGTTTTTTTTTTAAAGGGGTAAAGGAAGAATTATAAAAAATATACCCTTTTTGAAACTTTTTATTTAGTGCATATACCTACATAAAATTAAAAATTACTTTTGAAATATCGCCACTATATAATATAATATAATATAATATAATATAACATATAATGAATCCATATAAATTAACTAATTTTAAGCACATGTATGTAACCATTTTTTATTCAAATTAGATATGAGCAAACAATTTTGTGGATTACGCTTGAATTTAGCATTGAAAGATAAACACCAACAATAATAACCAATATTATAAATAACACAAGGCAACAGTGATTTTGTTGCAACAAATGTTGTGCTGTTTTTGATAGACCTTTTTGTGCTAATCCGTAAGCATAAAGTTTCCATCAGCTCTAGATTTTCAGAAAAACGAGGTCAAAGTGTCAAAAACTCGCGTTTTTTTTTTAAATATTTTATTTTTCACAAATTAATTATATTTCAAAGATTTCAAGAATTTTTTTACAAAAATTTTAACGGAAAATTTTAGAAGAAACAATGTCGCTGGCAAATAATAAATAGTCAAATTTACCCTAAATATATGTAAATGCCTCCAAAGAAGCAACACATAAAACATCCAACGAATAAAGGAAACATTGTAAAATATAAGGAAGTCGAATGTTGGAAAACGAACAGACAAAAGCTGTCTTATTACTTCATTTGTTTATTACGCCATGTACGAAAATAATGAAATAAAGTCAGTTGTGGAGGTTGTTTATATATATAAACTCAGAAGGGAACTATGTATAATACAGTTAACCTGCCGTAATCCAAGGGACCAAAGTTCTTTCTTGGCCACCTTTGATAGCCAGACTGATTATAAATAAAACGGTTCTATGGTTAACACTCATTTAATTGCCATTATCTTAAACTGTAAAAAGTATTTAAAAACTTTATTTGTTCTTACCAAAGTTATGAGTTAGAAATTAAATAGGAGCAAAATATTTCCTGGTCAAAGCGGAAAAAAGAATGTCTGGCAATACCAGGTTGAAACTGTACTTAAGAAATTAGCAGTATTTTAAGTATTTCGTTGCCGTTTTGGGTTTCCTGCTCTTCGAAGTAAACAGCAAAAGTTAAGCGTCGCTAAAGAGACGGCATACAGGTTTCCTCCGCTCACAATTTCCGGCTTTGACAGTTTTGCTGGTTTCTTTCTAGTTAAAACGATGCAAAACACCCTGTCTTCCGGATGTTTATTGGAGCTATATTTTTTAACAATCACTGACGCTGTTCATCTGGCTCATGTGCGTTTTTAGCTCTGCAAATGCTAAAGTATTATTCATTCCGTAAATCGTAAATGCCCAAACCCGAGTGCATCTATGATCGGCCTGCTAGGGATGTTGCATTTAAACGCGCCAGTTGATCAATCCTTTTGTCGAATACCAAATACCAAATTCAGCTTTCCTCTCCAGGCAACAAATTGAATGTATATCGAGCCCTAACCGCCAAAATAACGTAAGCGACATTTCGCTTACGTTATGTTGGCGGTTAGGGCTCGATATGTTCCGGCAATGTGTCAATCGGATCAGCCGCATTGGTCTTGAATTGGTTTTCATCGTTTTAAAAGGGTATTTTATTCCATCAGGGAGCTGCAGAAGAACCTCAACCTAGTCCCTTATTTTAGTAGCAACGTAAGTTTTAAGTTTCTAGTTAGTTAAATTGTCTACGCGCTCGGGAATTTTCAGCTATGTTTTCTTAATACGTACTTCTATACAAATACATACAAATGTAGAATGTAGTTTTGACATTTTTAATGTGTAAGATCTTTAAGTATACATACATACATATATCGTATTATCTATAAATGTGTCCTATCATCTACTATAATCTACTATACATACATACATGCATACATACATACATAACTATTACATAACTTACCTGTACATACATACATATATACATATACATATATACATATACATATGTATATGAATATGTATGTATTTTAGTTTTTTTTTTTCTCGTAACTCTTTCTCCAACTTTGTTGTGTTATTGTTTGTAATTTGCCTTTCCACGTATCTTCCTTTTTATATCTTTTTCTTTCTTATATAGATTTAATACGCCTTATACAACCCGACTTAGATAATTTCGATCCGCGCATTTGGATAATCGCCGTCAGTGTTGTGCTTGGAACTCTTGTGATATTAGCAATTGGACTTTGTATAGTTTTATCGAAAGAATGTTATCAATCATCGCAAGCGGGTACTGAACATACAAACACAGATAATACAAACACTAACACTAGCAACACTAATTATTACACAAGCGCCAGTGCCAAAGCTGTTACAGATACAGATGCTAAACGCAATTTGAATGTTGTTGTAATGGCTTAAATTTGATTAAAGTTTTTATGTGTTTGATTTTGGTTTTTGCTTTTTGCTTTTCATTATCGAGTTCGTTTGATCTGCTATGTATACGTACATATGTATATGTACATACATACATGCATAGCTTACTACATCATGTGTACATTCATATATATATGTTTTGCAATAATTGGAATGCTTATATCAATTTATTTATGCAACACAATTTTTTTGCACAGTTACAATATTTATTTACTCGTTTATTTTTCTATGCCAAATGGGTAAACTTGTATACAAGTGACAATTCGTTTATCGTTGAATACATGTACCTACATACATATATATTTTATATTTGTTATAGCTACAGACTATACTTACATACTTACTTCATACTTGCGTCATTGTGATCCTTGAATTATATGTATGTGCCTTTGTCCTTTGTTGAATCCATCTCTAAAATCTGTTTGTCTGTTCCGTACCGATACTCTTTTTCTCATCTTTCTATGATGATCAGAATCTCCTTGATCATTGTAAGGATAAACGACTTCCAAGCCGGCTTTAGCCAGTAGCCAGTGTTGCCAGATTGTGTTTTTTGTAGCGCATCCCTATATCGAGCTCTGAGTAGCATTTAAGAGCGCCGCACAGTATGCTTTTTGAACACTCTGGGCCGGTTGTTAAATGTCTGATTAGCACAAATCGGAGGTACTGCTTTATCGATCACATTAATCGAAGCGCTTTAGATAGAAGCAACATTGTGCTATTAATCAGAATGGGTTGAAAGAAAATGTAGTAATTAATTCCCTTTCAAAAGGAAACTACATCAATTGTAAAACATACCTTCTATATAATTCGGATATACATCCTGACCCTTATCATCCTCAATCCTTTGCAAACTGGAAATATTTTCATACATCCATATAAATATAAGTACATATGTATGTAAGTATATGTATATGGACATTTTAAATATTTTAGTTTTTTATGTTTCAATTTATTTATTAAAAAAAAAAACACAAAACAAAAAACAAAAATTATGAGTGAAACTACTTTCATGTTTTTGTATCATGGTCAATGTTGTATCAAGAGTATTCACGTTAAACTGTGTTCACACAAGGCAATGTGCACGTACTTGCGAATGAACTGTATATTGTAGTGTTTTATCGTCCTTCCTCGGAGAACGAGACATTCACACTGGAATTTCTGAATAAATCAAATCTTATCATTATTTTATAAAAATATAGCTTACTATCTAAAAAAAAAACACATCTAAATCAAAATTTCAAACTTTGTAGAACATTTATAAAATTTGGACGAATTTTAACAAATGTGGATCAAAATTTTAAACTTTTTAATCCGATTTTTAGAGTTGTTTTGAGTATGCAGTTTTTTAGGTGTTTTAAATAATTAAGGGGCAAGTTTGAAGTAGCCATGGCCTTATTTTTGATTTGTACCAATTTTTTGTTCGCGCATTTTCTTCTTGTATACAAAGTTTGTTTGAAATTTTTTTTTTTGTTTGAAGAAGATGTGCAACACCTCTACACAAAAAACATTCAAAAAATCAACGGTAAGGACTAGCTACTATAAAATTTGAACTTTGTTTTACTAAAATTGAATTGGCTACAAACCTGCATACTGAGAACGTTTCTATGAAAACTTGTACAAAATCTCAAAATTTTGATAATTTTGTTTTACTAAAATTGAATTGGCTACAAAACTGCATATTGACAACTCACTCTTATACGAAATCTCAAAATTTTAATAAAACTCTGTAGAATTTTACTAATTTTCATACAAAGTTTGAAACTTTGACTTACATGGTTTTTGTTGGACAACGAGCTACACTTCGTTAAGAAAAATAATACACATTAAATAATCGGAAGGGAAATAGCTAAAGAATGCTAAAATGTCTCTTCCATATTTATATTTTCGCCACTGTATGTATGTAGTTACGATTTGCCTCTTCCAAAATTCCGCAGGGGCCAAAATTTAGAAAACTACATAGACAAAATTTTTATAAACATTTTTAATTTCTTGAATTAGGTTAACGAGTTTTTGTTTACAAATACGTATATACATACGTACATATGTATACATATATGAACGTAATATTAATAGCACGTATTGATAGTATCTATGTATGTATTATATGAAATATCCAAATATTAAAAGCATTTTTGAAATAGCAGACTCAGAAAAAAACTTAATATTTATGCAGACAATCATAGCTTAATAAATTACATATACATATATATAAATCGAATCAATATTTTCAATTTAATATGTAGAAACCCGCTTTGTATTTACAAATATTCAAAATAATGTATTTTACACGATACATATACACTTTTTCACTTCACGTGCGATTCTATTAGCTTGTAAGTTACATTGGTAGGCACTAATACAGATAACCATATATATATATATACAGAAAAAAATACAAAAAAAGTTATCGAATAATTTTTACTTAAAGATCTGTAAATATGTTGCTGAAATTGCTGGACGTGTGTTAATGTGTTGTCGTTGTTGTTGTTGTCTTGTGGTTGACTTTGTTGTTGTAAATTAAATGTTAAATAAAACTGAGTTTCTGATTTGCACAAATACAGTAGCTGACCAAAATCCGATACGCTCGCTTATTTATGTGTGTTTATTATTTGAGTTACTTGCAACGAAAAAAAGTGGCTTTTCTGTAGTATCGATATTGCATCTCGTTACCCAGCATCATAGTCCCTACCCATCCAAATCCATCAATCATCATATCAACAATAACAAATTAAATAATTTACAATTTTACATTTCTCAAATGAAACTATAACTGGGTAATGAAAAAAAAACCATTCTTGTTCTTTCTATTTCTTTCCATTCTGTATTCTCTCTCCTCGTCTCTTTCTGCTTTTACTCTTTCCTATGCGAAATCAACTCACACTTATTTGCCAAAATTAAAACAAAAAAAACAAAAAAAAACACAACCAACATATCCCCCAACCATTTATTCATTTAATATATATAACACTAATTCAAATCACCCAACTCTCAATTTCTCCACCACCATTGAATTGTCGCCGCCGGCCGACACATTTAAAATGGCTTATCGAAAAAAATCTTGACGAACATACAGAATTTGAAGTTGGTTGGGAGAGCATAGAGCTAATACCGAATATAATACTGAATCCGGGCTTCTGTGAATCGGACGGACCACAGGCAGCGCAGCCATACACGCGAACAATCATATTCGGCGAGGACGACGACAGTGATGGCTACGAGAGCGAGGAGTCCGATCACGAACCGACAATGGAGAAGTTTAAACGAAAGGTGTCTGTATTCTTTACAGGCCCAACAATAAGACGCATTTGAGTCAAATCGGATAAAGGCTGTGGCGAGGGCGACGGACGACGAGGGAACATTTGTTCAGCAGTCGTTTGCGGGGTTTTGCGCCGTTTTATTTTTTTAGATATACTAGCATAAGTAGAAGCATTTATTTTATAGAATGTTATATTTTTGTGTGTAAAAATTAAATTTCTTTATTTCAAATATTCGCGTTCCGATACCGCCAGTATTTGGAGTATATTTGGCACACAAAAAGCTTTTTTATAAATTTGATTATTACTGCTTCATTAAAGACGCATAAAGATTCGCACATACGCAGAGTGGTTATGTCATCGAAAAAAATAAAAAAAAAATAGTTATATTTAATGAAAAACAAAAATAAATGAAAATAAAGTAAGACAAAAAGCGAGCTTTTGTTACAAAATATTTTATAAATTAATGCGTAAGCAAATTGTTACGAAAAACGCACCGCTGATACATAGTATGTATGTATGCATATCGTTGTCGTCATTACAAAAGGCCCTAAGTGAAATTGTGACTTGTGGGACATTTCATTCCAGAATATGATTATAACTATGTATGTCGTTAGAACTTATACCAGAGTCAAAGATATTTTTTAACCTTGGTAAATAACTAATGTATAAATTCTCTACAAAAAAAAAAAAACAATTATTTCTAAGTTTTTTGTATTTGGTATTTGATTGAATGAGATTGGTGGGACACTAAAAACCCCTCAATGTTACCTTTGTGTGTACTCAAAGACGAATTTTTTGTCAAAACACTTGATTTTCAAGCCAGATTCTTTTGTTGAATAATGCTCGTATCTATTCTTTTTTTGGTAGTAAAATACGTTTTTTTTGTTTTTATTCTAAATCTTTATCTAAACTGATTTTGCGTATCTCCTGAACAATTTCAAAAAATCGACATGGCACCTTTTCACCTTTAAGTAGCGATATACATACAAAAAATATGAAAAATATAGGGACACAACATTTTTACCAGTTTGACTATTTTTATTTCGTTAGTTTAATGTTTATTAATCTTTAATTAGAGTCTAGTTTATTGTATAGTACATAACACCATATAAATCCACATTTCATACTTTGTATAGGAATCAAAAAAAAAAATCCCAACCAACCTTTTATTCATAAATTCCAATTTTTCAGTTTTGTAGCCCATTAAATTCTAGCAATAAGGCGCAAGTTTCAAGAGGCTAAGAATTCGCGTTTATTTTTATTTTTTTTTTTTTTTGCCAACGGTGTTATTATTTTTTTCCATACAAAACGAACTAGTAACTTTGTATGGAAGAAAATGCGTGACCCTGTCAGTAAAAAAAAATCAAAAATCAGCGGTATTTTGTAGACACCTCAAACTAGAAAATTGTCGTTATGCATTATTCAATAATTAAAGGTTTGCTCATTAGTGACATTCGAGTTTTGACACTCTCTTAGCTCCCTTACAAAAGCTTTGCACACACGCACACGAACCCACACACAGTGCCTGGCTAAGGGAGCCGATTTTGTCAAGAGGGAGCGAGAAAACTGTTTTTTGAGCAAATCTTTGGTTATTGATTCATGGTCGTTATGCACATTTGTTGAATTTTTTTTACGAAGTTAGAAATTTGGATTTGCATTACTTCTGTTAGACATATCATTTTATTTCGAAGTGTACAACAGGTACACATAGTAATATAAATTTCTTTATATTATTGCATAATGATAATATACAGTTCTTTATCCGAAAAAAATATACGAGCGTTATGTATAAAGCGAACGTTTCCATTCACAAAAATTGCAACTTCTTTTTATTTTTTATTTTTTTTTCGATAGATAAATGAATTTTACATAGTCGGTAGTAGTAAGAAGTTCCTACTGAAATGGGGATAATAAGGGATTTTTAAAATTGTTGTCGTTTTCCCCTTTTACCTGAAATGACCCACAAGGATAGCAAAAATATTTTAAAAGAAATTAAGTATGTACACTCAAATCAAGAGCAAACCACGGATATTAAAAAAAAAAAGATTAAAAATTAAAAAAAAATTTCCTATTAAGGGCAGTAGTGGTAATGATGACAACATATACATATGTACATATGTACCCGTATGTATGCAGATATGAACATGAAAAGAAAAGTGAATATACATACATACATACATATATATGTACATATATGTGTGCACGTAGTTAAAAGCATAGCCTGTAAACATTTCAAAAAAAATAGTAATTACGTAGAATATTGTACTTATAATTTTAAGCAAAGCTGTACACGCAATCACACTTTCAAAAACAAATGTTACTCTTCTGGCAAAACAGTTTTCTATTACAAAGATAAATTACATCTTCATTTTTTTTTTTTTGTATGCTGTTTTTATCACGCATTTTGAAACGGATTTTCATCAACAATCAAATAGAACACACATTTTTTATCCTGTCCGTTATAATTTTCCCTCATACTTTATGGCGTCAGATAAAAGAAAATAAAATACATAAAAAAAAAAAATATGTTTTATAATAATTGGACGCCATGAATATCCACACCCATTTGCCGTTCGAAGGCCCAAAATCGTAGGTCCCTCCATTTTCTTTGCAATAACTAGAGGCCGACCGAAGTGTAAGATATATTCATTGGCATAGTCAACAGTTTATATAAAAAAAAATGTTTAGTGTATATGTTTATATAACGTAATTTGTTATAGAAAATCAAATATATGTAAGTGAAGTATAAAATATCTATAGCTTATGCGCAGAAATTTTAAGTTTTAGAGCAAAATGTAAACAAAAATGACGATTCTTCGACGAGCCCTTCGAAGGAAAAAAAAAATCAAAAATGCAACCCTGCTGCTGCTACCTATATTCAACGTGCCTTGGTACTACTTGTATACGGCGCTCCTGAAGAAGCCAGCATAAAGCACCGCAAACTTAAATTTAGCGCCTTTTATTATCTTTTTATCTATGCCCGTCGTGTACACGACATACATATGTACATATGTATGTACATTCTATATTCCTTTACATGTTAAGTACTAGCCGGCATAAAAAAGATTTTTATTTTTTTTTTTTTTTTAACTAATTTTTTTTTTATTTAAACTAATTGCAGTAGGTTTAGTGCAATAAAGGAAATTAGTTATAACAGAAAATAAATTTTTAATAATTATACATACTCCCGAAAATTGAAAATGTAGGACAAGTAACTTCGTAAACAAACATAGTTTGGTATGGAAACTCGGTTTAGTTATTTACGCAGACAAGAGGCAATTACGCGTTGAGATGAATACCCGGTGTATCATTTTTTTTTTTATAAACTTTACTTACGTGAAATGCATTTTTTGTTTCGACTTTAGAAAAGGTATGAAAAAACTAAACTGCTTAGGCTTAGTTATTACGATGCAATTTAGTAGTTGATATATGTACATACACACACATACATACGTAGGTAAATAATCATTGCTGTGATATTTCAATTAAGAAAAGATTCTGAAAATTGTTGAAATCTGAAAAATGTATTTATGCACGGGCACACATACATACATACACACATAGAAATATATGTATATTAAAGCAATTGCTCGCTTTTTAGAGGTTAAATACGCACATAATTATTTTAATTGTTATTGGAGAGTATTGGTTATTTTTGTAGAAATGTACATATGTATGCACAAAGTCATACATATCCTTGATGAAATGTAGAAAGGCCCTAACTAACACGATTTATTTTTTTTTAGGGGAGAAATAATAAAATTTTTATTGAAAATTATTGATGTAATTTATGTTAAATATCAATACAGAAGGCATTTACCGTAAATTTTTAGACAAAAGCACGACGAAAATGATTCCCCTAACAATCTGGATGGCCTTTGAGACACAAGGTATTTCCGTCCTTTGTCTTATTATAGTGATTTCGTTTGTACCAAAAAATTTCGCCATTTGATTGTCGTGTCTCTTTTCGTTTTCGGTTCTAAAATAAAGTCAAACGGTGAGAAAATGTTGTGTTCGTTTCTTAAAATGTCACATTCTTGTAAGGCAAAAAAATGCGCATTCCCTGCCCTTTGAAGCTTTGTCAGGGGTAATGGTTGCCTTCAAAATCAGATGGTTGCTTAAAACGACAATATTTTGAAATGCGTGAGCTAGACACGGACAAGCCGGCAAAACATGCCCTTTTACAGGGTTGAGTGTCTAAATTTAACACATTTTGAACCGGGGAAGTGCCATAATTTTTGGAAGAAGCGAAATCACCATTCGATTACCATTCATCCCAATTTGTTGTATTTGTCGCACGCTGCTGCTCCATTTTTGCATTATTTATTGGTTTTTAAAGGTTCAAAATGTTGCATTTACGAAGGACAGAGAAAGGGGAAGAATGAAATCCCTCGTTGCGAAAATGGTAGTAGAAAAGTACTCAAAGTAGGCACTTAGTAGTGAAATTCCTTTTGTAAATTTTAATGTATTTGCAGTAAATTTGGCATTTTAACCTATTTATTTATTGAATCATGGATTGTTATTTGTTTATTTGATATTTTTCACACGAAATTTCGAACACAGACTATAATTCAATATAGTCAAGAATTTTAGCTGGTCTCGGAACTATTTACAAATGCAAAGCCTTCTAAACTTAAGCAATTTTTTTTTTGAAGTTTCATTTGCATTTTGTTAATTTTTTGTAGCAAAAGTACTTCAGTTAAGGCTTTTTGATTTCAGAAATTTTCATTCGTTCAGTTATGGCTTTTTAAAAAGTGGCATTACTTCGCTAGTTTTTGAGTAACGGTTCTAAGCTTTTTAGTGAAGATGGGTTTTAGTATTAGCTTCTTGGGAATGCAAAAAACCAAATTTCGAAAAAAATGTCAGTTAGGGCCTTTCTACATTTCATCAACGATGTGTATGTACATATGTATGTAACTAGGCAATTCTGAAAGAAACATGTTTTAGAATTTAATAATAAAGGCAATATCTACGAATAGATAAACATATACATATATACGTAACTTGTTAGATACCTTAGTTCTTGAAGATTTATTTTTAATCCAGAAATAAATTAGATGTCAGTAGAGAAATTTCAAAGCAGGTTTTTAAAGCAATTTTTTTTTATTAATAAGAATTTATTTGTGCTAATATTTTCTGCAAGTATTCTCCGGGGATTTGCAAAAGTTAGCTCGTATTTTTAAAATCTTATCGTTTTTAGCACAAATACACATGCAGTTATGTCAAAATGAAAGTAGGCAAACCACAAGTAATATCCATTTTTGTTGTACAAACAATCTAGGGAATTTTACGTTGATGACATGGCATGTTTGCTTAAATAGTATCTATTTTTGAAGCAGCGAATAAAGTTCAATTTTCCTTCCTTCTTGCCATGGATTTTTTATTTTAATTTTTTTAGAGACATTTACTTTGGTAACTTAAAGATTTTGCCTAGTAAAATTTTCCGAAAACGAATTCTCTAGAACATTTTAATCCTCTCACGACCTACAAAACTTGCTTTTTGAGAATGTTTTGTAGCCAGCTTTTGCAAATCCATCGAGTCTCTTATTATTGGATAGGTATACTTTCAGAAAATGCTAAGAAAGTCCGGTTTCGGCTGTCGCACAGTTGTTAAATTGTTGGAATCGTAATCATATCTTTGAAACTACAAAGTCCTTTTAAAAAAATCCTGACTTCAAAGACTAAAAACGCGGTTTTACTATATGTATTTGGCCCATAGTCT